TATACTCTGTTTTTAAACCAGGAGGAGTAAACGCGAAAGTCAGATTTACACTAGGAAAAATCACCAGAAAATATCACTAGATATTTTGGCGGTAAATTTAAATTAATAATTATTATTATTTATTTATTTACTTATTATTGTATTTATTTTCGTTTGTTATCGTCAACACTATACATACAAATTAACATTGAAGTTATGAGTGTATTTATTTCAAAATATAATAAAAAAGGGTTTAAGAACACAAAATATACAATAATGACACGAAACTGTCGAATTATCAATTACCTAACCTTCAAAATCAAAATTCAAAATTGCCTGTGTGTGAACCTTCCTCGCATTCAACCAATCACGTGCAAGGTCAATCTGGTGACAAATTTAAAATACTCCTCCTGGTTTAAAAACAGAGTATAGTGTACTTGACTATTCTGGACGTCATGGACTTAATTTGAATCCAGGTAAAATGCAAGCCATTGCATTTGGCACTCTCCCCTTGCTGGCACAATTTAATTCCTTCACTACCCTTCAACAGAGGCTTGGGGACACCGTTAGATATTCCGTTTTCTAATACGGTCAAAAATCTTGGTGTGGTAATGGATTCGTCGATGTCTTGGCGGCCACAAGTTCAGGGAGTTTGTAAGAGAGTTTACTTCTATTTCCATACTTTGAAAAAACTTCGCTGCTACCTTCCTCTTGTTGTACGTCGTAATCTTCGTTATTCTCTCATTTTCCCACACATTGATTATGCCGATGCTGCGTATCCCGATCTGTCCGCAGCCCTTCGGGGTAAATTGGAAAAACTTCAGTACAATTGTATACGGTACATTTTTGATTTAGGAAAGTTTCAGCACATAACTCCATATCGTAACAACTTGCAGATGATGTCTTGCCAGAGTCGTAGATCATTTCGTATGCTTACTATGTTATACAAAATTGTCCATACCCGCACTCCTGCTTATTTGTCTGATGCCTTTCACTTTTTAGCATCACATGACTTGCCCACTCGATCAATATCGGACTCTACACTCATGTTTCCAGTCCATAGTACTGAAATCTACCACAGGTCTTTTACAGTGCAGTCGATTGCGTTGTGGAACGATTTGCCTGCCCTTGTTCGTAATGCAGCTAGTTAATAATAATAATCTCTAGTCTGCCTTTCCTCTATCTTTTGCTGCTCATTCGCTCAGTTTTATTAGCACATCATTTAGTATTACTTTGTTGGTAGCCATAATTATTTATTTAGAATTACATATACACTGTAACCAGTTGGGTGTAATCTATTGATATCGCCGATTGCGATAAATTGATCCGTTTGTCTGATGTCTATATTAGTTATGAATGTATATATTTATGTAAATATTTGTTTTTGAGGCAATAAACATTATTATTGTAATTATTATTATTAATTGACACTTTCACAGAAAAAAATATGTAAACGAAATTGTGTTTGTTAATTCATACTTAACCTGCTAAAAATGATCAAAATTCAAGAAATCGTACAATCTGTATTTCTGAGATTTAAGAAATATGTTTCATATCAATTTGAAGCTCAAAGTCTCTTCTTTCAAATGAAATATAAAATTATGTAGATATATTGAAACTTTTCGAAAAAAAATTAATGAACTTGTGTTTAATTGTGTAACTACTTTTTTATTTAAACTTAAATAAATAAACTAAAAATGATCAAGATTCAAAACATCGTACGGGCTATATTTTTGAGATTTAAGAAATGAGTTTCATATAAAACTAAAGGTTGAAGTCTCTTCTTGAAGGTGGTAATAATATGTAAGTTTATTAGGCATTTTTGAGTAAAAAGTTATAACTTAAAGTGTGTGTTTATTGATTTGAAGCTAAACTACTATTAATATGGTGGTGAATTGAAAAATCTATACTGTGTACCTATACGTCTATGTCTATTTTTAGATCGATAGAATGCAGATTTCAGTTGGAAATCAAGAATGGCAAACCGAATTGCCATTGATACTATACTTTTGAGATTCGTAATATAGGCTTCATGCCAATTTAACCACGCTTCTATATCTATTTTTAGATCGATGGAATGCAGATTTCAGTTGGAAATCAGGAATAGAAAACCGAATCTTTGTTATTCGGATTCCCTTTTCAAATGCTCGTATATTCACGAAACCATAAATTTTATTTTTCATACTTCAAAGGATTGTTCGACTTATTTTTGTGTTATGTTTTAAACCATGAAATTAATGTATTCTACACTTACAGTAAGTTTCAATTGATCTGTAACAGAACATCTGGCTATTTAATAATAATAATAACCACTTTTTTGACTACAAACAAAAAAAGTCTGTCCTAAAAGTGATTTTATTATACAAGTAAGGTGAAGTGTTCGCGATAACTACCTTATTCGCGATTGCTTATAGTATGAGATATAGTTTGTTGATTTCTGATCCCGTAAATGAAACGAAGACAACAATTCTGAACTTTTTGAATCGCACAATGCACAAAGTTAGATAAAACTAACGTATCACATAGGTAACTTTTAGTGGTGAAGTTAAATACCCGACGGTGTTGACAGACACCGAGGAGCTGACGTAAGTAGTGAAACGAAGATTAGAGTCAAACACCACCACCCAAATTTCTAGTCTCCGGAGACAGAATCAGTCGCTCACCATTCAATGAAACATTGACGTTATGAGATGGTAAATTGTCAAAGATAACTATTCGGTATTATGATTTGGTTGCATTAAGTGTTAGTGCCATTTTGGCAGTGTGTGCTAAAAGATCTGCGTTTAATTCTGTATATGACAAGTCAAATACGAAGTAGTTGAGAAGTGTACAAAGTAAATAGTAGCAGAGCTTACGAAGATCCCTGAGGCACACCAGCCTCCCCGAAAATTCCTCATCCAGTCTCATCACCTGAACTCAGCCAGATAAGAAGCTGTTTATAAGAAACACTGCCGAATCAGATATACCAACATAATGCAAGAGAGATAATGCAACAGCGTTCGGTGGTTGACTTTGTCGAAAGTTTTGCTTTAATCTAGGAGCACAACCACCCCACATTGACCATCATCGCAACCTTTCAAGAGATCATCAATGACGTTTAATAAGGTAGTGGCACAACTATAACTAGGTCGAAAACCGGATTGAATCGGAGGCAACACATTGTGTTCATCCATATGTGTACGCAGCTGAACCTCCATATAACTTTCTAAGACTTTGGAAAGAACTGGAAGAATACTGATGGTAAGTGCATTATAACAGCAGACTTCCAGGCATCGGAAAATACTGACTGTTTAAGGCAAGAGTTCTCAATATGTACAATGTATGGCAATAAGTCCGGAAGGCAGTTGTAATAAATATGATATTTACTTCATCAGCTCCAGCAGCTGTCGATTTGAGACTTAATAAAAACCCTACCTACCCCTGTATTAAGTACCGGAATAGTGTATTACAAGATACAGCTTTAGACTTTTTGCTTTGGAATTCACAACATCGGGACAGATGATGCCTACATGTTTGTTTGGGACGAATCTGATGCTTCGCGATGACCCCAACAAAATGGACTACTAAAATGTAACTACTAACAAAGTAGTCGTGAATTCTGATTAATGTGGGGGACAGAATAGAAACATAAAGATGTCGTTGTTCTTTCAGTATGTTGTATCTTACCCGCAGTGCTTCTATACGTAGTATTTTCACTTATGACAAGCGTTTTTGTCTTAATAACGACGAGGGTCAGGTCATTTTGTTTTCACTAATTACCAGTACAAAAAAAAACATCTTTGGCAATGAAATAAAAAAGTTACAAACTTTTTAAAATTTGATTCAATATTTTACTAGGTAATTGTGTATATGTATAGATATAAAAATTCCTTAATTTCGACAAATCTTGATCTTTTGATCTTGTTATTTATCGCAATGCGATTGCCGACTGCTAGATTTTATTCAGTCGTAGTTAAATCCAGTTTTGTCGACGTAATACTACCCGCAACTCCATGATAGCCGACACACTCCCCCTCCCTTTAATGGGATTCGCTAGTCTTAGTTATCGGAAGGGCGTTCTGGATTTTGCTGATGGTACCATATCGTACCACAAGAAGAAGGACAATATTCTTCAGACATTTCGCAATCCGCTCCGTCACACCTGAAACATTGTGTAGGCAGATAAACCCGGCTGACCGAGTCTTCTCTCTGCTTGCGTTGTTTGATGACTCGCTGGATATCTCTCATCGTGTAGCCGTTCTACTGCAGTACATCTTCTAGAAATCTTTCTTTAAATTCTTTTTGTCGCATATCCTTTCTGTTCGTAACAAGGCTTGGATCATTGACTTCTTCTGTTGTGGATGGTGATGGGATGAAGCTACTACATAGATACCTTTTCGTGTGTATCTTCTTGCGGTACACTCGCAATTCCATACTGCAGCTTCCGTTTGAATGGTAAATTTGATCATGGACTGTTGTAAGTTTAGGTGGTCTAGGAATTCTTGCAGTTCTGTTCCGTGATGCCAAATCGCGAAAGTGTCATCAACGTTACGAAGCCAAAGCTATAGTTTCAACGGACTCTTCCTCTTCAAACATCTCCATGTGAAACAGAATGCAATACGATGTGACGGAGGTGATCTCATGGCTGCCTTGAATAGAATCCTCCTTTCCAGTTAAAACACAGCCTTGGCCATAAGTATTGAGCACCCAGGTTAAGTTTGGAAATATCAAATTAAAATAAATTGAAATAACTTGTATAGGTTTATAATGTTTATTGTTAACAAAAAAATTAATATTTAGTGGGCCCACCTTTTGCCTTAATCAGGACCAAAATTCTTTTTGGTAAAGAGGACACAAGTTTTTTTACAGTCTTCGCGTTCCACTCTAGGCGCAAGCGATCTTTTAGCGCTTCTTTGAATGAATAGTGTAACGCCTAACTTTACGCTTCAATAAACCCCATAAATGCTCTATGGGGTTGAGGTCTGGAGATTGGGCAGGCCAGTCCAGGAGCTATACATTATTTTCTCGAAACCCAGTCATTGTGCGGATAGCTTTGTGGCATCTTGCGTTATCTTGTTGAAACTTAACGCCGTCCAAGTTTGTGTCGCCAAAAAGTGATGTAAAAGAGGGCGCTAATGTTGTTTCCAAGACATTTTTAGGGTGCTCAATACTTTTGGCCAAAACTGTATGTCGATGATAGGCAGTACTTCACCAGCTCTGGAACATATTTCGGCATGCCCTCTGTATTTACTTTCTGGCGAAAACCATCTACGACGTCGTTGAGGGGTGCCGAGATTCCACATCGAAACTTACCAGGATATTCTGGCAATCTAACTTCATACTTCTGATTGATTCCACAAAATGTGTAAAATCTCTAACTATGATTCTTTTTTACCTGTATAAAGAGACAAAGTTTTGGCAAGATGCTTTGCCAGCTGATACGTCAAGATAATAGGACGTAGCGTGACTTGGTGGTACTGGGATCAGTACGAACAAATTTCTCTGTTGCTTTTTCTAGTTCTAAGTCTAGTGTTACTTCTAATTTTAGTAATTATATTAATTTCTTTTTTAGAATTACTTTGGGTTGCCCCAGAACTTCTACCACTAACAGTAGTTCCAGGTTCTCCAGCAACTCAAAAAGGCGACGTATACAGCTTTGCTATAATTCTCGAAGAAATCATTTTAAGAGGAGGTCCTTATCAAGCGGCTCGACAATTTTTAGACTCTCAAGGTAATTTAAAATCATAAAAATTACTCAATAAATAACTTTAATTTTAATTCCCGTAAAGAAATCATTGCAAGAGTAGCCGCAAAAGAATCTCCACCATTTCGCCCGGCAGTTGGTAGAACGGATTGTCCAGAAGACCTCCTCGATTTAATGGGAAGATGTTGGAGTGATTATCCAGATGAACGCCCAACGTTCGAAATTATTCGCGGGATCGTTCGATACATCATGAAAGGTTTTTGCGAGAATCTCATGGACGATCTGTTACGGAGGATGGAACAATACGCAAATAATTTGGAGGCTTTGGTTGATGAAAAAACAGAACAATTGAGTCAAGAAAAACGGCGATCAGAAGAATTATTATATCAAGTTTTACCACGTCCTGTGGCCCAACAATTAATGGCGGGAGAGATGGTCCAACCGGAACAATTCGAATGCGTTACCGTTTATTTTAGTGATATCGTTGGATTTACAGCTTTATGTACAAAAAGTACTCCGATGCAAGTTGTAGATTTTCTAAACGATTTGTATAGCACTTTCGATAGGATTATTGGCTTTTACGATGTGTATAAAGTAACGGATTTAAATGTTATTATTTTATGAGATTAATAATTCTTAATTTTAGGTTGAAACGATTGGTGATGCTTACATGGTTGTATCAGGTCTTCCTGAACGTAACGGAGATTATCACGCTAGAGAAATTGGTCTGATGTCATTAAGAATCCTAGACGCGGTTCATTCTTTCAGCATTAAACACAAACCTGAATACCAATTACGTTTGAGGATTGGTATTCATTCCGGACCGGTTTGCGCTGGTGTTGTTGGACAAAGAATGCCACATTATTGTTTATTTGGTGATACTGTTAATACGGCGAGTCGGATGGAAAGTACAGGACAACGTAATATCACAAAAATTAATTTATGTTTTAATAAAATTTGATTATTAATGAATTTTAGCGTTGAGGATTCATGTTAGTGATACCACAAAGGAAATTTTAGATAAATTCGGGACGTTTCAATTAGAGTTGAGAGGTGAAGTTGAGTTGAAAGGAAAAGGGGTTTTAACAACTCATTGGTTGGTTAGTTGTACCGAACCAGATCCGCGACCTCCAACTCCTGCTCATCCAGGAATTTTGGAGAATCAAGATGTTAACCCTTATCCCTTAATTTATATGGGAAATTAAGATTTTCAATGAAACGAAACAAAAAGTATTATCAATGTACCTGGGAGATGTGCATAATTAAAAAAGAATAAATGTATATTTATCAAAGATTTTAAGTTTATTATTTAGCAACAATAAATACCTAATAAAAGTTGTCAACATCACAGTGAATAAATTAAAAAATTAACTACGCAACATTTTTCACTTTAACTCTGTTTAGTTTTGTGTTTCTTCTTTTTCGTTTTAACTGGTTCGTTGTTCATATAAATAGCACTCACAGTCAAAACGTAAATAGATTGCATCGCGTACACAAATAAAATCAAAGATAATGCGGCTATAATCAACACTTCCGTACTAATTTTTTCGTACCACGGCAAAAATCTTTCGGCCGTGTTGAAATGTTCCGAATTGTTGTTCCTCAAAATGTACTCCATCCAGAAAACTGCTCGATCCAAAGGAGATTGAGGTTGATCTTGAAATAATTTTGATAACCTATCGATTCGATTCTTGTAACTAAAAACACCAAATTAAAATTTTATTAAAACTAATTCTTTAAAATTAAATTTAATACTCACTCAAGGTTATCAATTACTTCTCTAATCGACTCGTGTAAAATCCGACTGTTCAACGATTTGTAATCTAAAGTTTTGCCAATTGTTTTTGATAAGATTTTGGCTGCGTTATTATGATGATCGATAAAAACGGGAATGCCAATCAACGGAACTCCATGATAAATAGCCTCTTGAATACTTAACCAACCACAATGAGTAATGAATAATTTAACTTTTTTGTTACCTACAATAAAATGCACTTATTGTTAGTTACAAAAAAATTTTAATACATTAAAGCGAGGCTCGTGCGGCTCGAGGAACTTGTTTATTTGAATTCTTAGTTACACTAAAAGTAAATAAGTGCAGTAGTATTCTAAGTGCCAAGGCTATTAATAGGTAAATATAATTACGTATTGTTATATAAAGAGATGGAAAATATAAAAGAAAATTTATCTAAAATATCACTTATTTTTTTTACGATTACATATTTTTGTACACTAATTTTTAGTACATAGTGATTGTTGGAACATTATAAAGACAATAAACATCGTTGTTATGATTCTTTAAACCTAACTCTGCATATTTGATTGTTATAGATATGAAATCTAAATTTATAAAAAATCTTATCTCAAGAACAAATGGAGATATCATCTTGAAATGATGAAGATTTTAAAGCAAATTTGATGATTTAATATACCATAAATAATTTCTTATTTTCCATAAACATCGTTGTTATAATTTTTTAAAACAAATTGTGTAAGTGTAAATGTTATAGATTTGAAATATAAACTTTAAAACATCATATCTCAAGAGCAAAGGAAGATATCATCATGAAATAATGAACATTTTAAAGCAAATTTGATGATGATTTAATGTGCCATAAATAATTTCTTATTTTCCATAAACATCATTTTTATGATTTTTTAAACTCAATTTTCCACATTTGATTGTTATAGATTTAATAGAAATTAAAAAAATCGTATCTCAAGAACGCATTGAGATATCATCATGAAATGGAGAACATTTTAAAGCAAAATTGGTGAAGATTTAATATGCCATAAATGATTTCTTATTTTCCGTAAACATCGGTGTTATGATTTTTTAAAACTAACTGTGCATGTTTGATTGTTGTAGATTTGAAATATAAATTTTAAAACAACGTATCTCAAGAACAAATGAAGATATCATCATGAAATAAAGAAGATTTTAAAGAAAATTTGATCATGATTTAATCTGCCATAAATAATTTCTTATTCTCCATAAACATCGTTGTTATGGCATTTTAAATCCAACTGTGCATGTATGATTGTTATAGATTTGAAATTTAAATTTTAAAACATCGTATCTCAAGAACGAATTGAGATATCATCATAAAATAAGAAACATTTTATAGCAAATATGATGAAGATTTAATGTGCCATAAATAATTTCTTATTTTCCATAAATATCGTTGTTAAGGTTTTTTAAATCCAACTGTGCATGTTTGATTGTTGTAGATTTGAAATATAAATTTTAAAACATCGTATCTCAAGAACGAATTGAGATATCATCATAAAATAAGAAACATTTTAAAGCAAATATGATGAAGATTGAAAGTATCAATGATTTCTTACTTTCCATAAACATCGATGTCATGATTTTTTAAACCAAATTCTGCACATTTAATTATTATAGATTTAATACAAATTAAAAAAATCGTATCTCAAGAACTAATTGAGATATCATCACGAATTAAAGAATATTTTAAAGCAAAATTGGTGAAGATTTAATATGCCATAAATAATTTCTTATTTTCCATAAACATCGTTGTTATGATTTTTTAAAACTAACTGTGCATATTTGATTGTTATAGATTTGAAATATAAATTTTAAAACAACGTATCTCAAGAACAAATGAAGATATCATCATGAAATAAAGAAGATTTTAAAGAAAATTTGATCATGATTTAATCTGCCATAAATAATTTCTTATTCTCCATAAACATCGTTGTTATGGCATTTTAAATCCAACTGTGCATGTATGATTGTTATAGATTTGAAATTTAAATTTTAAAACATCGTATCTCAAGAACGAATTGAGATATCATCATAAAATAAGAAACATTTTATAGCAAATATGATGAAGATTTAATGTGCCATAAATAATTTCTTATTTTCCATAAATATCGTTGTTATGGTTTTTTAAATCCAACTGTGCATGTTTGATTGTTGTAGATTTGAAATATAAATTTTAAAACATCGTATCTCAAGAACGAATTGAGATATCATCATAAAATAAGAAACATTTTAAAGCAAATATAATGAAGATTGAAAGTATCAATGATTTCTTACTTTCCATAAACATCGATGTTATGATTTTTTAAACCAAATTCTGCACATTTACTTGTTATAGATTTAATACAAATTAAAAAAATCGTATCTCAAGAACTAATTGAGATATCATCGCGAATTAAAGAACATTTTAAAGCAAAATTGTTGAAGATTTACTATGCCATAAATAATTTCTTATTTGCCATGAACATGGTTGTTATGATTTGTTAAATCCAGCTGTGCATGATTGATTGTTATAGATTTGAAACATAAATTTTAGAACATCGTATCTCAAGAACAAATGAAGATATAATCATGGAATAAATAACATTTTAAAGCAAATTTGATGAAGATTTTATGTGCCATAAATAATTTCTTATTTTCCATAAACATTGTTGTTATGATTTTTTAAAACCAATTCTGCATTTTTGACTCTTATAGATTTGAAATATAAATCTTAAAACATCGTATCTCAAGAACGAATTGAGATATTATCATGAAATAAGAAACATTTTAAAGCAAATATGATGAAGATTTAAAGTATCATCAATGATTTCTTATTTTCCATAAATGTCGATGTTATGATTTTTTAAACCCAATTCTGCACATTTGATTGTTATAGATTAATAGAAATTAAAAAAATCGTATCTCAAGAACTAATTGAGATATCATCATGAATTAAAAAACATTTTAAAGCAAAATTGTTGAAGATTTAATATGTTATAAATGATTTCTTATTTTCCATAAACATAGCTGTTATGATTTGTTAAATCCAACTGTGCATGTTTGGTTGTTATAGATTTGAAGTATAAATTTTAAAACATCGTATCTTAAGAACAAATGAAGATATCATCATGGAATAAATAACATTTTAAAGCAAATTTGACGAAAATTGAATGTTCCATAAATAATTTCTTATTTTCCATAAATATCGTTGTTATGATTTTTTAAATCCAACTGTGCATGTTTGATTGTTGTAGATTTGAAATATAAATTTTAAAACAACGTATCTCAAGAACGAATTGAGATATCATCATAAAATAAGAAACATTTTAAAGCAAATATGAAGATTGAAAGTATCAATGATTTCTTACTTTCCATAAACGTCGATGTTATAATTTTTTAAACTCAATTCTGCACATTTAATTGTTATAGATTTAATAGAAATTAAAAAAAATCGTATCTCAAGAACTAATTGAGATATTATCATGAATTAAAGAACATTTTAAAGCAAAATTGTTGAAGATTTAATATGCCATAAATGATTTCTTATTTGCCATGAACATCGTTGTTATGATTTGTTAAAGATTTTATGTGCCATAAATAATTTCTTATTTTCCATAAACATTGTTGTTATGATTTTTTAAAACCAATTCTGCATTTTAGATTCTTATAGATATGAAATATAAATCTTAAAACATCGTATCTCAAGAACGAATTGAGATATCATCATGAATTAAAGAACATTTTAAAGCTAATATGATGAAGGATTTAATAGGCCATAAATGATTTTTTTATTTTCCATAAACATCGTTGCTATGATTTTTTCAATCCAACTATGCATGTTTGATTGTTACAGATTTGAAATATAAACTTTAAAACATCATATCTCCAGAACGAATTGAGATATCATCGTAAAATAAGAATCATTTTAAAGCAAATATGATGAAGATTTAATGTGCCATCAATGATTTCTTATTTTCTATAAACGTCGTTATTATGATTTTTTTAAATCAATTCTGCATTATTGATTGATATAGATATGAAATATAAATGTTAATAAATTGTGAAATTATGAAATAAAAGACATTTTAAAACAAATTTGATTTAATGTGCCATGAATAATTTCTCATTTTCCATAAACATTGTTGTTATGATTTTTTAAATGCTATTCTACAAACCCAACTTGGCATGTTTGATTATTTTAAGAACAGATATTAAAGAAATTGTATCTCAACATCTTATTAAGATATCAATATAAATTAGGAAACAATTTAAAGTAAATTTTCATATTTTGAAACTTTCATAGTTATGAATTTTTGATTTCAATCTTGCGTTATCATAAACATTAATGTTAAGGTAATGTTGTTAGGGTACTAATTTTTTTCAATGTGAAAATCAGTTTCGGGTTGATGTGGTATTACCATTAGAGCCTTGGCTGCAAGTGACCTCGTCTTAATTAATCAAAAAATATATTGTTATTGATTGAGCCTCAGCTACATGCGGCCTCGGCTTAATTAGTCAAAAAATATAATCTTAATCACTGAGTGCAACTTTTGTTAGACATTCTTACGTTTAATCGCCTGTTGAAGATAAAATCACAAGACCGTAAATACCTACATTAAATCAAGGAAATTATTTATTTGAAATTTTAGTTACGTTAAATGTAAATAAGTTTAGTGACACTCTAAGTGTCAAGGCTATTAATAGGTAAATATATCGTAATAACATTTTGTTATATAAAATAAAAAGAAGGCTTACCTAAAATATCATTTTGTGGGAACCACTTTCTTACAATTACATTTTTGGGTACTTTAATTGTTTCATCTTCGTAAGCCCATAAGATAGTTTCGTTTAATTCGTTAAAAACTTGTAGAAAATCTTCTATGGTACCAGAATTCATGTGATTTTGAATGATATCTGTCGCAATTGACACATAAATAACTCTGTCGGATTTTTCAAACACTGTTTCTAGATCCTACAAAATAAACACTTTATTTTATCAAATTACTCAATTAATTATTTTTAATTTAATTTTTAACCTTCGGCAACTTTTTAATTTTATTTATATGCATCCCACCGACTGGAATAATATTCGGCGGAAACGGTTGTGGGTAATCCAAAATTGGATCATTATTCGTTAATAAAATCGAAACCTGCCTCTCGACCTCTTGGAAATATTTAATATCTTCGTGGAAATATTTTTGCGCTTCCATATACATAGGTGGCATGTAAAAACACCACTTAATTATGCTATCTAGCGTTTGCAAAACTTTATTGTATCCTCTTTGCCAACGATTCATCTTATCGCTGTAGGGTAAGGTGTAAAACGGGATGTACGAGTAAACGTGAGCGCCTATAACGTCTGCGATGAACGGCGGAAGTCCGAATGCGGAAACTCCTAAGATTGGTGGGTTTCCAAAATACTCGATTAAAGGATAAAGGCACTGCCCGGAGTGGAGATCGTAAACCATCAAGTCAAAGTGGTCTCTTGGGAATTTCATCAGATCTTTTAAAGCTTGAGATTTCAGGTTGTGTTGGCAAATGTAGTAATTGTAGTCCCATACTGAGTAAATGTTTTCTATTGCGGTCCAAGAATACAATGATGGTCTCTGTACTATATCATAATATGAGTGTTTAGCTCCTAAAAAAAATAATTAATTAACTGAGAAGATTACAGTATTAACGTTTGTTTCAAATTTCGAATAATATTAAACAAGGAAAGAGCAAGATTAGTCGAGGTAAAGAAACTATATTACACATAATTTATGAATAAGGCCATTTATTTAATTACTTTGAATGATTCAATTTCATTCTGAGGCTGCATCAGCTAGGTAAGATGTAAAATGTTGAGAACAATAATAAGAAAATAATGGATTTCGATGAAGAGGATAGAACATTTCGATGAACTATTGAATGTAGCATGGAAATGTAAGTACAATACAATAAGAGGATAAAAGATAATTTAAACAAATAAAAGAGTTGATAAATAAAGAACGAAAAACCACCCGGACAAGATAGAATAACTACAGAAATGATGAAGTATATGACTGGCAAACAGGGTTAGTAGTCCCAATACATAAAAGAAGGAAGACAAAAAAGACTGCAACAACTGCACAGAAATAACATTTTTGAGTACTCCTATGAAAATACTAGAGCAAATTATTAATAAGAAAATTGAGCCAATAATTGAAAGAAAATTGTACGAAGTTCAAAACGGCTTTAGAATAGCCTACAACCTACAACAAAATAATAGTATGCCAAAAAAATTATAGAAAGTACCACAGGGAAGAGGAATGAAAATATTAAGAATCATACAGGTGATATAATATATGGAAACAATGTTAATGCTATGGTAAATGGAAATTTAAAATCTAAAGGGCCCACGTTCAGGGATGGCCTTAGGCGATCATGGATTAGCATACATGAATGAAGTAATTAGGAAGTGTAAGCTCCAGCTAATCCAGAAAGATTAGCTTTTGGGCAGTTCTTAACGTTAATGTTAAGCTTCGAATATATCATCCCAGCTATAGCGAATGAACTTTCTGTTTGGATTTAATTTGGTATTGAATTAAGACGTTTCTTAATGCTTATGCATCAACGCTACCATTCGTGCCACAACAATAAGATCCCCCTACACATGAAAACTATTTGCTATTTCTCAACTTATCTAAAGGTTTTGTGACTTAGACATACACTTTAAATAACCAGAACGAACCAGATATGAAGGAAAGTAATTTGAAGTAATATCATACATGATATATTATATAATCAACTCTCCTTTACCTTCTTTTTCTCTCTTCCTACTGATCCAGTTTCTTCGCATTCGGACACTCCTGCACAGTATGCTGTAGTCGGAGTGTCTCCTCTTCCATACTTGTTTAACATCTTTCACGACATCGTTTACAAACGCTTCCGAACACACATCCTCTTCCACTACTTCTGACCTTACCACCTCATCCGCTTTCCACATCCCTAAATCCTGCCTGCAGTTTCATCCCATTTTCACTTTCCTACTTATTTTCATCGCCTTCTCAAGCACTTTCATAATATGTATGTATATGTAGCTTCACGTGGAGGTGAATTCCTTCACAGCACTTAGGTTCCAGCGGGCCCTTTGTACAGGGTGTCCAAATTTCGATGGGTTTGCAGGGTATCTCAGTTATTATGAAAGATAGAAAGTTGCGGCTTTCGCGAACCTGAGCTACTTTTTTGTGAAACTTACAACGGTGCAAACCAAATTTTCATAGCGCTCTTCGTTTTTGAAATTTACGATTTTCAGACACCTCCTGGATCTCGGCTATCCGGCAACTTAGTAAAAAAGTAAAAACGGTTTCTAATAGATTTTTTCACGTGGAATCCAATGGTGCACCTAGAATTTTTCTAGTCATCACGGTTTTTGAATTATAAACACAACTCAAATAATGAATACTCAACTTCTAAAATACTTAACTCTTTATAACTCAAAAACAGTGATGACTAGAAAAATTCTACGTGCACCATTGGATTCTACGTGAAAAAATCTATTAGAATCCGTTTTTACGTTTCCGGATAGCCGAGATACAGGAGATGTCTGAAAATCGTAAATTTTGAAACACTGTATATCAAAAACGAAGAGGGCTATGAAAATTTGGTTTGCGCCGTTGTAAGTTTCACAAAAAAAGTTGCTCAGGTTCGCGAAAGCCGCAACTTTCTATCTTTCATAATAACTGAGATACCATGCAAACCCATCGAAATTTGGACACCCTGTACATATCCACAATTTACAGTGGTTTTAGGGGTCAGAAAACCAGCCCAAGGTTTTAATGAACGTTAACCCTTTTGAGACTCCTGGTACACCGTATGTACCAGTAAATGTTTCACCAGACTAAAACAAGTTTCTATCTTCTCCAAATAAAAAATCGTCTTGAAAGGGTTAATATAAAACAGAAGGGTATATTCTTTATATCCGAAATTTGTGGTCATGGTACGCCAAAAGTGGATTTCCTTAAGTACGCGAGGTTGGGACAGTCACAAACAATATGACTCACCGTCTCGTCTTCCAGTTCACATCCTCTACAGAGGGATGTATTTGCCAGGTTCATGTAGAACATGTGCTTACGTAACCTGCAGTGTCCATTGAGGGAGTGGGTGAGAAGCCTCAAGTCATTTTTTGATTTTCCCAGAAGTGTGTAGATCTCTTTCAGTCAGGGTAGAGCAGAATTTTCTTTGCAAAGACACCTACTGCAGTCTCATCCAATCTATCACAACATGCTCGATGGGAGATGGAGTTGATCAGCTTGAGGTGACTTCTTAGCCACCCGTTTCGCCAACCTGTCCGCATGATCGTGTCCCTTATTTACACTATGTGCTTTTCACAGATCGTGACGTTGTTATAAATATTAGCCTCCTCAACTGATTGCCGACAGGATTTCACTAATGACGATGTAGTTCGATGCCTACTTACCGCCAGCATAGCCTGTCTGCTATCTGTGCACTTTCATAATATCATTCACCTCCACACTTCTTCTTTTAGTTATCATCCACCACCCCACGGCTGTCATATTGTCCTTATCACCCATTCCACTTCCAAGCTTATCGATTTCAGCTCTGCCTGAGTTATCGTCACTACATCTTCCATCCTTACTCTGAGCTCATTCATCACATCCTCACCCACCATAGTCACGACCCCTGCATACAATCTCTCCTTTCCTTTCGTACCATCCGTGTATACCTCTAGAACGTCCCCTTAATTCTCCTCATTGTCTCCGGTTACCTCGCAATATCACCATACATCTCCTTTCTCATCTGTTCCCATTTCAATATTAATCAAATATATTAAACAAAATATTGATGATGACGAATCTCCTGAAAGAAGAAATAAGCGTGCTTTTCAATCTTCTAGCATGGTGAATTTCATTCAAAGAGAATCCATGGTAGAATTGTTAGCCAAGTGTGCTGCTTATGATGGCTTTTCTATTAATGCTTTAACACGGTCTTCTGCAATTCGGGAATTCATAACAAACCGAGGTTATGAAATGCCAAGAAGCGAAAATACAGTAATAAACCTAATTGTGAATTTCAGTAATGAGAAAAAGAAAACTATTAAATAGTAATTCTTACACTGCACACAATGGAAGACAGTTATAAGTTAGGTCTTATTTCAATAAAGGGTTCTTGCGATGCCCATCAAGTGCAGGTATTAGTTGAAAGAAAAGTAAGCGAATATGATATTACGCTAAATACTCATATTTTGGCTTCAACTCAAGATGGGGCCAGTGTTATGAAAAAATATTCACAGTTGAATGGCGTTGAAAATCAATTTTGCCTAAACCATGCAATTTATTTAGCTGTAATGGATACCTTTTATAAAAAATGTGATAGTACCAGCCTAGCACAAGAATTTTCAGATGAAGAAAACATTTTGCAAAATGTGCGCCAGATAGTACAATTTTTCAGAACATTGCCAGTTAGGAACGACATATTGCAACGAAAGATTCATTCAAATAAAAGACTGCATAAACAAAGCATTAGAAGAAATCGGACGAAGTAATTTGTACATTGAAATGGATTTTAATATTTTAATTAATTTAATTGATATATTGAAACCTGTGGAATTTGCAGTTATAGAACTGAGTATTTACTCAGTTCTCAAGCATCCTCAAGTTTATTAAAGGCAGTATTTTTTTTGTTAATCAAAAGATTATTTTAATTTGTTTGTCTCCTACTCTGTACCAGTCACTAGCGGTCTTGACATTCTTGATAATTTCGCCCATAATGACGTTAAATAATATGTGGCTGAGGTTATCTCCTTGCCCATACCCAGGTAGATAGCATTGGTAATATTTCTTGTTAGTCCGCTAGCCGTTTTTATGTATGCAATTTATTATATAGTCCATAGTTGACCACCTAAAAGATCGTTTGCTTGTGTTTTCTTCTATCTTTTCATTTATGTCTTCTATTTTCGATGATATAATTGTCGGAAGTGCTTCTCCCATTCTTTTGCAGATATTGTATTTGCTTGTATGTACTCATTAATTGGTAAGCGATTGTATAAATTATGTAACGAATTTTGTGCGTTATAGAAAGTAAAATAAAAAGTCTGATGGAGACGATGAAATTTGGGTAAGTATATCTTCAATCAGCGAAGTGGAACAATGAGTAAAAGATTATCGCAAACAACTAAATCGAAGTTGATGAGTACTTCATACAATAGTCATCGAAGGAACTACCTGAAGAATCGAAATTATGAGCAAACGTTATATAAACTAAGGTCACTAAACCACTTCGTTGATTACAACATTTGCATAAAATTTAAATCAAATTTTCTTTGTAAAATCTTTTGAATTTACATTAAAATAGTTGTTCTCTGTAATAAATATCGTTCCTAAGATTTTAATTAAGTACTGTTGTTTATGCTAGAGCAGGTAGACTCTCATAATGTAAATAAACACTAGCCTCAACATTATATTTATTTATAAAGAAAAGCGCAACAAGCTAAATAAACTTTTATTAAAATAAATATGTATTTTATTTTATATTAAGATTTTGAAGAGAAATTATTTATGCATTTAAAAACTATATTGCTTTTACAGTTGCTCAACTCATTAATATATTTACTTTTCATAAAAAAAGAAACGTTTATCAATATTGATTTAACGTGGTGGTACCTGATAAGATACTAAAAAAAATTATAACACGTTCTCCACGCGTTGTTACTCTCTGTGTCGGTTACTCACTAATATTTAACTTACCTTCAATTTGAAAAAGTGTATAATTTTCATTTTGAACATCACTTTCTTCGTGTCCAATCAAAGTGATTTGATGTCCTCCTTCTAAAAGTTTTTGCACCAAAGCTTCGTTCCATTTGTGATGACTACGCGATGAAACCAACGTTACAAAGAGTATGTTCGCACAAAACGTGGATGGAATAGCTAAGGCGAGAATTATGATCACTTGTCGAAATAACATTTTTTTTTGTTAGTTTAAACGAAGAACAGTTTTAACGGCATCCTCTATTAGTAGAAGTTATTATCTAGCTTCGGGTGTTGACACCTACATAACTAAAGCACGCGCGCATATTTACTTAGAACGCGAATTTTATCGAATGATCATCAGGAAAATAAAAATCGGCGGTCTATCGACAAAAACGCGTTTTGTTCAGAGGAGCGAGAGACACTATCAGCCTTTTATAAATCAATGACAACAATGAGTTTATACCTTAACGTGATGAATGTTATCATTTTATTTATTGTGTTGTAGGTGGATATAATGAGTTATTGAAAAATTTAAACAGAATATTTTTATTAATTTAAATTTAATTTGACTGAGTCATTAGATAAAGAATAAGTATAAACAATGTGCTTTCAACATTTTTATTGATAAGCTTGAAAAAATATTCCTATGTACTTAACTTTTGTATTAATCATCTTAGATTATCTAATATCTTAAATGAGTAGGTAGATTTTTTGTACAGTTATCGTTTCCCACGTTTTACATGATAAAAAAGTGAATATAAGCAAATGTTAAGATAGATAATGAAATTAAAAAGATAAAAATAAGCCAACTCAACAATTTATGAAATGTAATAGGTATACTTAATTATTTGAAATATTAATTACTTTTTGTGAATAAGTTTATGCAAATTTCATTAAATAATTAAGCAAAAGTGTGAAAACTTACAAAACCGAATCATCAACACCAATTGAAATATGAGAATAAGATAACAAGCATTTTAAAGCTAATTTAATCCAATTTTAATGTGCCAATCATCATTTCTTAGTTTATATAAATCTCACCGTTATGATGTTTTAAATCCAAATCTACACGTGTACAGTCGATGGGATTATGTTGAAAACAGGTAAACTTAAAAAGCTGTATCTACAACACCAATTGAGATATGAGAATAAGATTACAAGCATTTTAAAGCTAATTTAATCCAATTTTAATGTGCCAACCATCATTTCTTAGTTTATGTAAATCTCACCGTTATGATTTTTTAAATCCAAATCTACACGTGTACAGTCGATGGGATTACGTTGACAACAGGTAAACTTAAAAAGCTATATCTACAACACCAATAGAGATATGAGAATAAGATTACAAGCATTTTAAAGCTAATTTCATCTAATTTTAATGTGTCAACCATCACTTCTTAGTTTCCATAAATCTTACCGTTATGATTTTTTAAATCCAAGTCTACACGTGTACAGTCGAGGAGATTATGTTGAAAACAGGTAAACTTAAAAAGCCGCATCTTCAACACCAATAGAGATATCGCTACAAGATAACAAGCATTTTAAGGGAATCTTAATCTAGTTTTAACGTGCCAAGCGTTATTTCTTAGTTTCCATCAATCCCGGTGTTATGATTTTTTAAATTCAACTCTACAAATGTATAGTCAATGAGATTATATTGAACACAAGTAAACTTAAGAAATCGTATCTTCTACACCAATTGAGATATCGCTATAAGGTAACAAGCATTTTAAAGCAAACTTAACATAGTTTTATCGTGCCAAGCATCGTTTCTTAGTTTCCATAAATCTAGCTGTTATGATTTTTAGATCCAACTCTGCACATTTACAGTCGACGGGATTATGTTGAAAACAGGTAAACTTAAAAAGCCGTATCTTCAATACCAATAGAGACATCGCTATAAAATAACCAGCATTTTAAGGGAAATTTAATGTAGTTTTAACGTATCAAGCATCAGTTCTTAGTTTCCATAAAATACGCTGTCATGATTATTTAAATACAACTTTGCACATTTACAGTCGAGGGGATTATGTTTAAAACCGGTAAACTTAAAATATCGTATCTTCAACACCAATTGAGATATGAGAATATGATAGTATGATAATTGCTATATTAAACACCGTTTATAACACCGTTTAATATTAAAATGTAGTTTTATTAGATAAACAACGTGGTTCCTTACTTGTTCTTGCCTGTCATTCACCTTGAATTAATCTCTCTCTCTTTTACCAAGCTAAACTCTTAAAACTAAATATAACTAATTTAACTATATATAACAATAATTATATGGATCAAATAATTACGAAGTGTAAAAGAAGTTATATTATAAATTAACACCAATGAAGACCTTTGATCTAGTGTATACAGATGATATAATGATGATAGCAAGTACGAAAACAGAACTATAAAGAAAAATTGCCACCTGGAAAACCTGCTTGGAAGAAAGGGAATGCAAATAAATATCGGGAAAACCAAGATTGCAAGACTGGAAATTGTGGATTAAATTTGAATATTTGGGCACCATTATTATTGAGAATGGAACAATATACAGAAAAATATAAAATAGAATACAAATAGCAATTAATGTATATTACCAAATGAATAACACAATTGTGGACAAGAAAGAAGTATGAACAAATACAAAATTAAGAATTCATAAAACTATATAAACACCTACCCTCACTTATGGAGCTGAAACATGGCCGATGAGAGATAAACACCAATCAAAAATATCAGCAGTCGAAATGAAATTTTTTAAGAAAGATTACAGGGAAGAAAATAATGGATCGAATTAGAAACAAAACTATAAGAGACGATTTAGAACAAATACCGCTGGTAACTGAAGTAGAAAACAAACAGCTGGACACCTGGTACATACCAAGTATGGACACCTAGAGAGAATGCCAGAAGAGTAATGGAAATGGGAATAGTTGGAAAACATAGAAGGCCAAGGATAAAATGAGAGGAACTGTGCAAGAAGTGAAGAATATGGCAAGGAACAGACGTAGTTTTAGAAGATGAATGATAAAGAAGAAGAAGAATATGATAGCAAGCGTTTTAAAGGAAACTTAATCTAGTTTTAAGTATCATTTACTGTCAAGGAGATTATGTTAATAAGAGGAAAACTTAAGAAATCATCTACACCTGTTGAGATATCGCTATAAGTTAACAAGCATTTTAAAGCAAACTTAACCTAGTTTAATCGTGCCAAGCCTTTCTTCTTAGTTTTACTTAGTTTTTTTCGCATCACTTCTTAGTTTCCATAAATCCTGCTGTTACGATTTTTTAAATTAAACTTTGCATATTTACAGTCGAGGAGATGATGCTAAAAACCGGTAAACTTAAAAAGTCGTATCTCTAACACAAATTGAGATAACAACAATTTTAAAGCTTATTCAATCTAATTTTAATTGTTCTATAAAAACAAGCACTTTCCAGTAGTTGACAGTTTGGTTCCTACTCCAATCCCAGTTGCATACTCTAAATGTAACTCTTTTCTGCATTCTGCAATTGTAAGCAACCAATAAAATGCTTGATTTGGAGAACCCTAACGCAATTTCACCCACGGAACCAATCAATGGAAAACAAGCAACAATACCATAACCTTCCAATGGATAATATCAGATTCCTATACTCCAACATCAATAGCTACCATCGGAAAGCTTATTTAATAGGTAACTATTTGAATGCTCATCCTATACAGTGTACTTTATTTGTAGAAACAAAATCCAAAGAACATATCAAATTTCAAAACTGGTCTGTAGTGAAAGAAATATGCACACACTTTTCATTACCATTTGGGAAAGAAAAACTACACATTTTCCTGGTATATATTCACCCACATAATGGAATAGAAGCCATTATTGTATTCGTTATTAAAACGACGCTTTTTATTCGATCCTCTGAAGAATTCAACTTCGAACCCCAATTCAAGTAAGAACTTTCCAATTTTTCTTTCGAACCAACACCTACAATTATTCCCGACATTTGTCGCGCGAACACTATATTTATAAAAGCTTCACTATACGATAACGCCATAATAATCGGAGATTTTAATATAAATAAGTCGAAAAATAAACATCTATCAAACTTCCTCAATCTGACTGGATACAAGAAAATAGCTACACCACCTACATTTATCATGCAAACCAATACCAACACCATGCCTGATTTAGTAATAGGCTCACCAAGCATATATCCTCTCATCTCAATAACAGATCTTGGTTCAGACCACCTCAGCATAGATTTTCAACTAAACACCTCACCACACTTCCCAATAGTAAACATTCCAGACACATTAATATTAATTTATGCAATATCGAAAACCTAAACAATGACATGACAAATTACATCCATAACAATCCTGCTATTAACACAGAGAACATATCATCGTTTATCAAAACACCTAACGAAATCACTAGTATATCACTCCCCAAAAAGGAAAAAGTCCTATTACTACTACCCACTCCCTCCTTATATCGTAACGTTAATTAAACGTAAAAGATGCATGTACCGAGAGTTCAGAAGAAATGAAGATGTTGACACCAAGAAGAGAATTAATGAGCTTAGTAAAAGTATTCAGAAGTTAATATGGCAATTCAGATGTTCCAGATTTATTGAAGCTTGTAATAATATCAACCAAAGTAAGGGAAAATGTTTCTGGAATCATGTCAAAAAACTATCAAAATACAAAACCCGTAATCCAGCCGGTTTATCTTATATGTAGATCCATCTGATGGCTCCAGCTGTAACACTGATTTCGAAAAGGCACAAGTACATGCTAAATATCGCGAAGAATGTTTTAAAAAATCTGAAAACCTCTTATTCGTCTTATTGAAGACTGGTTTACAGCGTTTGATAACACTGCACAAATTCCTAGTAACAGATTGAATGTCGACGAAGATGAATACTGGGAATTGTTAAGCAAGGGAAAAAATACTTCGGCCCAGCTATGATAAGCTGACACGAACCTTCAATTTTCCTAATGAATGGAAAACTGGGACAGTAGTATGCATCCCAAAAAAAGACTCGAACCTATAAACGCTTTCTGGTTATCGTCCTATAACGTTGCTTCCTGTCATCGGGAAAATGTTTGAAAATCTTATTAAAAAACGATTGCTAATGTATGTTGAAGATAACATTCCACATCATCAGTTTGGATTTAGATCAGGGAAATCGACTATACAGCCACTAGCTATTCTTACTTCAAATCTACACACTTGTCGCTTGCAGCAAATAAAATCAGCAGCTCTTCTTCTAGACATACAAAAAGCGTTTGACTCAGTGTGGCATAATGGTCTGATTTACATATTACACAAATTAAACGTTCCACCTGAGTTACTTAAATTACTGTCAAATTTTTTAAAAGATGGTTGTTTTCGAGTAAGAATAAATGAAACCTTCTCGGATGAATTCCAAATTCAACAAGGCGTACCACAGGGTTCGCTGCTCTCACCAATACTATACAATGCTTTTGCATATGACACGATGGAAATTTCCACGCTGTCTAACGATTTATACAGTGTGTCCGTAAAGTAACGGATATAGGCGATAAAATCGTAATAAACGGTTTATGAAAAAATCCCTGAAAGGAGTGTAAAGATTTAAGTTTTTTGCAATTTTTTGGTGTAGCTTTCAAATTTTTTCCGCCATTTTTAAACGAGTTATGGCGTCATCGATATTTTTTTTAAATGGCATTTCCCCATTTTTATTACGGAATATGAAAGGGGATTTTTTTCTGAATCAGTAACATGAGGGTTTTCTTGCCCAGCCAAAATGAGCAGATTTAAACAGCATGGCAGATGGCCATGCTGTTTAAATTTAGTCACAGCTAAGCTTACCATACTTGGGCAAATGAGTTGGCGATCAGGATATGTTGTATTAAAGAGGTCAACTGCTTACTAAATCAGTTTTTGACACTTAGGAAATTGTTTAAAATAATTGGTTACCATAGTTACTCATGGCTGCTGCTATTTTCATCATGTCAACAAATCTGAAGTAGTTAACTTTAAAGTAATTTTTCTCGAAAATTTTCTTCTGTAAGCAATATTAATATTGACTGTATTAGATTCAGAAAAAAATCTTCTTTCATATTCCGTAATAAAAATGTGGGATTGCCATTTGAAAAAAATACCGATGACGTCATAACTCGCTTAAAAATGGCGGAAGAAATTTAAAATCTACACCAAACAATTGCAAAAAATTTAAATCTTTAGACCCGTTTCAGGGATTTTTCAATAAACCGTTTATAATGATTTTATCGCCTATATCAGTTACTTTACGGACACACTGTATATACTGCAATATGCCGACGAGACTGCACTAATAGCGCATGGGAAGAAACTTGAAACAGCCATAGTAACATTACAAGAAGCAACTAACAAAATAACTAAATGGTACTCTTCCTGGAGAATTAACATAAACACAATTTCTAATACCATTCCATAGGATAACAGATAATTCTCCAACAGTATACATCAGACAGACGCAAATCAATCCTTCAGCGTACATCAAATACCTGGGTATAATCTTTGACAGCAAAGTGAAGTTCCACATACACACAAAAAAGGCTAAAATGAAAGCAGTCATTAGAGCAAAGCTGTCTAGAAGTTTAACCTACAAGAAAGAAGGCATTAACATCAAATGCGCTGCGCATATTTATAAGACTATTTGTAGATCAATTTTAGAGTATGCAAGCCTATTGACCTATGATAGCAAGCGATGCACACTAAGGAGTTTGGAAGTTGGCGAAAGAACAAGTCTCCGAGCAGTAACGAAAATGAGACACCCGAACAATCCATTGCACAACATCGCAAATGAAACGCTATATGAAAAAACCGAAATAAAGCCTTTGACGGAGCGACTTCTAATTTTAGCAAATAAATCTAAGAGCAAGATGTCCGAAGAAATGTCACCCCTATTTATACAATCAGAATTCGACACTATTTACAAAAAAAGGATTGTGACAGGATAACAATATGTGGCTGATAAAATTTTAATTATTGATGGGGCGGAAGGACTTTAGTCTATAGTCCTTTTTAGACTTAATATAGAATGTACATTATGTTGTTGTTTATGTTATATATTGCTTTTAATTATCTAAAACAAAACCATTCTCTCTAATTTTAATGACACACAAATAAATTATTTGTTTTTATAAATCTCGGTGTTATAATTGTTAGAATCCAACTCAGCATGTATATTCACAGTAATGGAGATTAAATTTGAAATTGTGAATGATTGGTGATACTNCTTTTTTTTTAGAAATAATGTATACAAAATAATACTTATCTTAATATACCGTACATACATGCATATGAAAAATGCCAACATTTTATTATTACTTCTTTTTTTAATAATTTTTTAAAATAATTTTTATTATTAAGATCTACGTTGGCGGCGTTGGCGCCCCCGTTATAATGCGCCCCCATGCGGTGCTTAGCTTGCTTACCGCATCGCGCCGCCCCTGTTGTTAAGTTATACTGTTGATTTGAGATAATAAGCTAATTCCTCTATCACATAGCTAATAAGAACCACTTATTTTTTTTTAATTTAAACTTGTAAGTGATACATGGTTCTAATAGCTCTGCTTTCTTGAGGAAGCATTTTACTCACCTCTTCATCACGTGGGAACACATGCATGGTAACATTTTTTCCATTGGAAGGACAATTTGGCACACAACAATAATTAACCATTTTGCAAACTAAAACGAAAGAAAAATTATACAAAATAAATCTATCGCTAATATAAACTAAAAAATCTCAACCTTAATTGTTATTTTAGTTACTCACTTCATTAATCAATCTTAATCACTTCAACATTAACAACACTTTCCTTTTCAATCTTCCTGTCACAATTCGTTACACAAAATAAACTACAAGCCTGCTATAAACAGTTTTTAGATTATTTCTTAGACAACCAAAAATCAAAAATTTAAACATTAATTCGATCGGTAAAGAAGCTGTTCTTATGTTGTATGCTATCAGCGCCAAAGCTATCACGGGTCACAACTAAATTTATTATCGACGCATGCTTATACGGAATTAACACAAAACGAAACGAAATCGAAAACGAGACGAGACCATACTACACTCTCGTACACACCACTACGTAGGGATCACATTTAATAAAAAGAAAGTGAATTCAGTATCACCCTGCGAGTTATTTTGAGGGGACAAAAAGAAATCATTCAAAGCATTGACATCAACAGGACCTTCAAGAATAGAACAAGCATTTTATAGCAAACTTAACCTAGTTTAATCGTGCCAAGTTCTTCTTAGTTTTGCTTAGTTTTTTATAGCATCATTTCTTAGTTTTCATAAATCTCGCTGTTATCATTTTTTAAATTAAACTTTGCATAGGTATTTACAGTCAAGGAGATTCAGGTGAATCAGGTAAACTTAAAAAGTGGTATCTTGAGCACAAATTGAGATATGGCTATAAGATAAGAAACATTTTAAAGCAAACTTCTAAAAATCTAGTTTTAACGTGCCAAGCAACATTTTTTAGTTTCCATAAATGTCGCTAATATGATTTTTTAAACCAACTTTGCACGTTTACATTCGAGTAGATTATGTTGTAACACCAATTGATGTGTGGTAATAAGATAACAATAATTTTAAAGGTTATTTAATCTAATTTTAATGACACATAAATAAATTATTTGTTTCTATAAATCTCGGTGTTATAATTGTTAGAATCCAACTCCACATGTATATTCACAGTCATGGAGATAAAATTTGAAATTGTGAATGATTGGTGATACTCCTAATTCAATTTTATCTTAAATCCTATTTAATTATTAAATTAAAGAAAAAGTTCTATTTTTGATTCGTCACGTTCCAACCATTAATAATCAAAAAATACACAAGAAAAAGTAATTAAACCCGTACAAACCGTTATCTTTAAATGAAAACCATTGAAAAAATGAAAGTAAATTTATTAACCCATTAGAACTGTTAAAGCGTGAAGCGTCACAACGAAGAAGTGACCTCAACAACCAACCAATCAAGTTCCACGACCGAGCTCAGCGCGATTCTACACAAGAAGAAATTCCAACGTAAATAGTTTCACTGTGTGCAGCTTGCGTCCAATTGCTGCTTCTCTGTGTCTCTTTAAATTCAGTTTAAAAACTTAATTTTTTCTTCGTTTCACCACACGCGTGGTGACTCAGTGTGTTCTTAAATAAACACCCACACGATTCATATTGTGTGTGATAAAACCATTTTATAATTTAATTTTGATGTCTTCTTGAAATTAACCGCGTCTAGATCGATTTTGTGTGTGGTAAAGTTGAGTTTACGGTTTGTTTACTCTCGAGGTAACCTTGTAAATAAATTCCATAGCGAATAAAAAATAAATAAATAAAAAACGCGTGTTAATGTAGTGTTTTAATCAATCTTTATGATAAAATTAATGAAATGAAAATGGTTGAAAGAAAAACTTTTTCATCGGAATCCGATAATGCTCAGTTATTAAAGAAATCTCGAGATTCTGAAAATGTTGTTGTTAAAGTTGCGATGTTAGATGGGACAACTTTAGAACTTGGAATAAGTGTAAGATAAAAATGCTTAATTTATTTGATTTAAAAAAAATATTTTGTTTAATATATGCAGAAAAAATCGAAAGGTCAAGAACTTTTAAACACCGTTTGCGAACTCGCAAACATTTTAGAAAAAGAATATTTTGGTTTGATTTACACGAAAAAACGTAGTTCGAGAAATTGGTTGGATATGGAAGAGAAAATAGAGAGACACATCAAATTTGAACCTTGGTTAATTCATTTTGAAGTTAAATTTTACCCACCAGATCCATCTCAACTCCAAGAAGACATCACAAGATATCAATTGTGCCTTCAAATAAGAAATGACATCCTCAACAATAAATTACCATGTTCTTTGGTGACTTTAGCGTTGTTAGGATCTTATTTGGTTCAATCTGAATTGGGCGATTTTAATTCAGAGACGATGCAAGATGATTATTTGAGTAGTTTTAAATTTGGATTCGATCAAAACGAGGAATTGGAAAGTAAAATTATGGAGTTACATAAATTACATAAGTTTGTATTAATTTATATTTAAAGCAATTTAAATATTTTTATTTATTTTTAGAGGCGAAACTCCTGCTCAAGCTGAATTAAACTTTTTAGAAAACGCTAAAAAGTTACCAATGTACGGAATTGATTTTCATTCGGCTAAAGATAGTGACGGTTTTGAAATTCGAATAGGTGTACATTCTTCCGGTTTGGTTATTTTCAAAAATCAATTGAGGATGAATAAATTTGTTTGGCCAAAAATTGTAAAAATCAGTTTTAAGGAGCATAATTTTTACATAAAACTGAGGATTGATCAATTCGATGAGTTTCAATCGACCGTTTGTTTTAAACTGGAAAGTTATCGGGATGCGGAGAAATTATGGAAAAGTGCGGTGGAACATCACTCGTTTTTTAGGTAAAAAAAGCTATTAAAGCTTTTTTGTATACGTTTAATTATCTTTTTAGATTGATGTCGCCAAGAGACAAAGAAAAAAGGATTTTACCTCGATTGGGGTCTAAATTTCGGTATTCGGGTAGGACTCTTTATCAAACGAGACAAGAAAAAATTGAACGTCCAGCACCAAAGTTTGAAAGATCTTTAACGTGTCCGGCAGATTGTAAAGTAAAAGATTTAAGTTAAAGTAAGATGTTGACTTCGATACTACGTGTAATATATTTTATTACCATGTTTAATTCCATAGGTTGTAATAAAAATCATTACATTAATTGATAATTAATTTACCTTTATTATTTTGCTCTAAACCCAGCTTAACAGACTTTTCTTTCATCCGTTTAAAGATCTGTTCTTTGAAAAATTTAATTAATTTAATTATATACAGGATGTCTTATTAATTACATTATTATAATTTCTGAATAGCCCATTTAGTTCTAAACCATTTTTGTCTCTTATAAGATTTTGATTACATAAGTGGTTAAGCCAGAAAAAAGGTATTTTTAAATATCTGCAAGCCTTGTTTACGTCATTGCAGCTACAAAAGTTACCTCATCGTAGTTGGCACTGATTTCAGCTAAATGCAATTTATGTTTAACGTGAATACAATATCATTAATTGATCAAAAGCATGGGAATTTAATGATCCTCAAAGCATACAGTGTTAGGAAAAAACGTAGTTGTATTTAGTTGATTCAGTACGACAAAGAGAAACTTTTAATCAATTCTAAGAAACAAAATGATAATGCATGTGTTATTGCAATAATAAAACATAACTCTAGTATGCTTTGCATTTAACTGTCAGTTAACATCAATAAATCGTGTTTAACGTTATTTTTATAATGGATACTTACACATATGATGAGCAACTAGATATGATTTTAGTTTATGGTCAATGTCAATTTAATGGTCGCAAAAGCATTCGAGTCTATAGGGAACAGTTTCCTAATTGTTCCAAATTAGAGTGCCAAATCACCAAACGTTTGGAAATATCGTAAGACGTCTCATGGAAACAAGTAGCTTGAAACCGAAATACACAGACCGTGGATATCAACGTACAAGGCGAACTGTAGAGTTGGGTTGGGTTGGGTTCATGAAAGAGTGGCAGAAGACCCTAAAATTAGTACGAGGCGCTTAGAAAATCAACTAGATGTTGTCCATAGGGTAATAAAATAACAATTATTACACCCATACCACCTTAAAAAAATGTAAGAGCTTTTACCTGTGGATCACGAAATGCGTTTGACTTTCTGCCAACTCATCCAAAACGAAAGAATCCACGACCCACATTTTAGTAAAACGATTTTATTCACAGATGAGGCAACGTTTCCCAGATCACTAACATGCGTAACGATCATGTTTATGCTGAAGAAAATCCGCATATGATCACAGCAGTCCATCATCAGCATCAATTCAAAGTTAATGTTTGGGCTGGAATTATTGACGATAACATCATTGGACCGATAATAATAACAAATCGGTTAAATGGCGAAGTTTATTTAAATTTATTAAGACAGTCGTTACCGGATTTATTAGAAAATTTACCTTTATTACTTCGTCACGATATGTGGTTCATGCACGATGGTGCTCCGTCACATTTTACGATGGCTGTTCGGCAATATTAAAACTAACAATATCAAACCTTACACACTTGCAGCAAAATCACAAGACCTTACACCTTTTGATTATGTTCTATGGTGGGGCATTGAAGTCAAAAGTCTATGCATCCACAATTGATAGTGAAGAAGAATTACGAAGAAAAATTTGGTTAGCACTTAATACATTAAATAATAGCGAAATAATGGACAGAGTGCAATTTAACTTTTTACGACGAGTAAATTTATGTATTTTAAAAAACGGTGGTCATTTTGAACAATTTTTGTAAATATTTCCTACTTGTTGTGTTTATTGTTACCTTTTGTTTCTTAGAATTGATTAAAAGTTTTTCTTTCTAGTACTGAAACAACTAAATACGAATACGTTTTGTCCTAACACTGTATGCTTTTAGGATCATTGAATTCCCATTGTATTCACGTTAAACATAAATTGCAATTAGTTGAAATCAGTGCCAACTACGATCAGGTAACTTTTGAAACTGCAATGACGTAAGCAAAGCTTGCAGATATGTAAAAATACCTTTTTTCTGGCTTAACCACTTATGAAATCAAAATCTTATAAGAGACAAAAACGGTTCAGAACTAAATGGACTATTCAGAAATTATAATAATTTAATTGTCGCCTGGCCAGAAAAAAAATATGGAGTAATATTCGATGAACACATGACTTTTCCATCATTCCTGTGTTTCTAAAATTGTATCAAAAACCATAGAAAGACATTAATTGAACCTAGGAACTCACTTCTGAAAAATGGTTTCAATTGATTTACGCGTTTTCGAGTTATAAAAAATAAAAGAATTTTTTTTGCTAACTTTGAAGTGCTCTAGCGGCGAAACGAAGCAACTTTGGATATAGATAACTTAACTTAAATCGACCTATTTTGAGCCAAGGAATCTGTGGTCTTCCGTTGTACACGCATTTCGGAGACACTCTGTATATGCTGAAAGAACTCCTTTATTTATTTCTTTCAAAATCCCAAGCCAATGCCTCAGCAGCGCAGCTTTCTCGGCAATCAAATAACACAATCGAATTTGTTACGCGCCGAAACCTTCGGTGTGACAAAATTAGAAGCTAAGGCTCGATAGCTCAGTCTTATAGATTGGGTCGTGGGAGAACGATCCAAAAAGAGTGAGAAAACAATAAATATAGATAGTAAAAGGGCGCCACCAAGCTCTACCTTTTTCCACTTCTAAAATAGTAAATATAATATGTTAAACTTGGAAACACAAAATATCTGAACAGGTAATATGAGCGCCGAACGATTGAAATGGGGAGAAAATGGGGAGAATTATGTTGAGAACTACTGCAGTAATACAAAGAAAATATGGTGATAATTCAATATAATAAATCAATAAAAAAAAATAATAACAATACACAAAATGAAAGAAATTATAATAAATTTATGTGACTCCTTTTGAGACACAAAATCTCACATAGAGAGAGAGTAAAAAAAATAATAAATCAAACGTTGATTAAAACTTGATGTCAAACAATCTAAAGGTTATGAACATGGTTAAATAAAGTCTTACTTCTATTCTCGCAAAAATAAAATCATCAATGAAATCAATAAAATTGATATTAAACAAAATGAATGTTATTTGATAATGAACGTAAGACATAGATAGCTATCTTTGACTTCAATCAGGGACTCTATTGGTCCACAAAACAAACCAAAATCTTGCGAGTCAAGATCACACATAAATGAAATAACCTCAAAGATTAACAGATTTAGTTACGATTATCTCTCTCTGTTATTTAATGTGAATATGTACTATTAATGAATATTATCTAAATACTTAAACATTAATTCAGTTACATTAACTATTAATACTCAAAATCAACGAAAAAAAAAATTATTTATGTTAAATTATTATATATAAAAGAGAAAATTATCAAAATAGAAACTTTAAGAAAACTTATCTCAAAATAATATTCGTGGTTTGAATTCGGCAGTTATCCAAAACCAATTTCGTTCCAGTTCGTAATTAGATGTAGTCCATCGTATAAAACCAAATAAGAAGTTAGGTTAGGGTAGCGACATCAGCTGACTATACCAGATTATTCTTCGAACTACGATGCAAAGCGACCTTTGATACAGGACATCCAAGGTCAACCAGAACATCCAACGAAGAGACCAATTAAGAAATGATCTTCAAAACGAAAAAGAAAAAGTCCTTACAAAGAATAAATCTCACGGTAATCCCTTCTTCTGTCTCAAAAAGTCAACAAGTTGTAATGAACGAAGCGTGAAGTTAATCCTCAAATCCGAAAATATCGGTTCGATCAACGATCGAATAAGTAATCGGCCTTAATATATCCGTAAAACAACGAACCACGAGTTGTAGTTATACAAAACTTTTAGTTCAACTCACAATGTGGCGAAACTAAGGCGTCAATAGGGTCAGTATCAACCACGTCTATACAGCACGGAAATTAAAAATTACGCCTAAAATAAATTGAAATGCATCGGCGCATACGTACTAACCAAATCATTGGTGGTAGTAAAAGATAGGGTAGAGATCTTTATCAAAAGAATAATCAATAACGAACAACAGATGTCGTGACGAACTCCAACCAAAAATTTAAAGAAAAACAAAAACTATAACCCTATACTAAATTACAAGTTAAACTTGTAACAAATTAGAGAGAGAGAGAGAGATATTTATTGCCTCGTTTTATACTTAATAATAATAGTATATTATTCAACAAGCGTATAATGGCGGCTGTTACCCACGAAGATGAAGTTGCAACACGAGCGAGCGAAGCGAGCGAGTGTTCTAATCTGAGTGGGTAACATCCATTATACGCAAGTTGAATACTATACTTTATCTACAACTATTTAATTTTGAAAAAAAAAATCAAAAAAAGAAAAAAAAAAACTTGACAGACATTTCAGACATAACCTCAATATAAAAAAGCTGTCATTTCTGTTAATATTTTATTTTTTCATTAGTAGGCCGTGTCAGAACTGTGGAATAATGGCCTCATTATTCAACACTTTGTCTGTCATGGGTAATGAGTGTCATTACCCGTCAAAAATCAAATGTATAACGAATAGATAATTCAATAGTTGTAGATAAACTTTATTTCCATTTCCAAAAAAGTATATACAAGTTGTCCCGAAACTCAACGTCTATTAATAATATAAAATAATATGTCTAATAATATAAATATGTCTATTACCACTTAAATAGACATATTTTCGAAAATGTTAAAAATCGTTCCCGTACGACATATCTTTAGGTATTACGGTCAGAAATGTTCGCAATTTAATAGTGATTTTTTTAATAATGTATTCCTTATGAACCATGCTACTATAGCAGTTACAAATCAAACAACAAAAGTCGTTAGTTTTGCAAAAAAATGTATTAGTTTAATTGAGTTAAGGTTGAAAGAATTTATATCTATTTAGTTTGACACACGATTTCTAAACAAAGGAGTAGTATAACACCCTTGGCAAGTTATTTTAAAAGATGGCCTGTTTAGTCAAGATTCCAAAATGGTATAACACTTGCCATTTTTCTTTTCCTAAAAAATATTATGGCCTCTTTTTCTGCAAAAAACGCGTTATTTAAAAAATTCATACTTTCGTAAGTTATTT